TAAACGTGAGCAGCGCTCAGTGGTTTACGTGCCACTTCACGTGCATAACGTGGGCATCGCCCTCGATGCTTCGGCCCTTGGCCGACCATGTCACGCATGACATGCAGCGACTGCTCCAAAACTTGAAAATAACCTGTGGGTTACGTGCCAACCCACGATCAGCCCGTGAGCCATGATCGGGGCTCCTGCCCAATGCACCGTTGGTGTCGACCAGCTCGGACATTCCAATGTCTAGCACGTCAATCGTCTCGGTCCAGTGCTCTCCCCAATAGCGCTTTTGTCTCCTAGCAGATGTGTGTTTATGACTCGCCAACGCTCCACCAGGAGACGTGCGCGTCGCGCCTAATGTCTTTGACCTCCGATCATTCCATGGCTCATGGTGTTCCAACCATGCCATTCCTAGGATGAGAACATACCTTGCATCCAAGTCTAAGACTAGACAGCGTTCCGCGCTATCAAAGTCAAGGGTCTTGACTCCGAGGTCCACAGGGACCTTCGGGACCGTGACACGCGTCCACGTCGCTAGGCGAACAGTGACGATGTCACCCAACCGCGCTTTCAGCGCCTAAGTATACAGCTGATTTGCCTCCATCGTGGAGCGTCGAGCACTATTGCACGACGCCCCAGAATCTATGAGGATCTTCCGTGGCTTTTCAAAGCCCTTTACGGTAGCTTCCACGACCAGTAAGCCCGGCTTGCACACACGTTCCATGTTTAAGAGCACGGAGCTCTTCGGGGCTGGGCCTTCATGATCTATGCCTCCCTGAGGCTCAACAAAACTCAGATCTTTACCAGTAGGTCGCCCCGCGCCTACTGAGTGGTGTCTATTCCCCGCAACGAACCAGACTGGTAGGCGTTGGGGCGATGGTTCGAAGCATCTTGACGCGCCTTGCGCAGGCGGCGACCGTTCCGAAGGTAACGGGTGTCTCCACAGACAAAACACCGTCGAATGTGTGTATGCGGTCCGGCAGCTCGGAGCTCCGCTCCCTCAACCTCAGCATAGCTGAGATCCATGGGCACAGGCCCGCTCGACGAGCTGTTGGAGTGTGC